AGATCTTCTTCCATCTTCGAGACTTTAGACTTTTCTTACTCATCTCAATCTCCACCGCACATCCCTCCATACTCCGCCGCAACAATCTAAACTTATTCGCTCGTGCAGCTGAGCCGCGATCAAGAGGACATACGAATCTCTGTAAGGATTAGGGTCTCTAGGGAGGACGATATAAGACGAAGAGGGATTAGGGTCTCTAGGGACGACGAAATAAGACGAAAAGCAAGAGGAAGCTGCGTTGGTTTCTGGAATCTACCCATCAAATCTTCGATTACATAGAGTTGTCGTCGGTATTCCGGATTTGGCTTTTGAAGATCAGGTCTTTTGTTAACCTAATTTAATTTACATGTGCGCGAAATTTGCTTTGTGGATCTCGTTTTGGAGTTGGAGCTGAATCCACCGCTCTAGTTCTCGATGATGCGTCTGCTTCTCTGTGGGATCTTATTTAGGTTTTTGTTGATTTGGGTTTTGCGCCTCAGTGGGTGTTTGATTTCGAATTGGATGATTAGGGCTCTTCAAGTTTACAGCTTTCATCATTCCAGGCTCATGGTTTTTGAAAATTCCCCTGATTTTATCATTGATTCGAGTTACCAAACAAGAATCAACATAAGTGGTTCGTGCATTTGGCAATTTCAGACTACAAAAAAAACTGTATAGCGCAATCTTGTCTTGAGGTAAAGGCTCATAGAGTCTTTAACCGATGGTCTAGCTATCAAGTTTTTGTCTGCAGTGGCTCTATTATTCTTCTGCAGTGGCAATAGCTCTTGGTTATGTTTTTGTCTTGTTTCTTATGGTTTGCTAATGGAGGAAGATCATTGCTTGCAGGTGAGGTAGTCAATCGTTCATACACTTGTAGGAAAACATTCTTCAATTTGGTGACAAGTGAGAAAAAGATTTTGAGATCAAATAAAATTCTACTTCTGGGGAACATACAGTGAATGGGAGTGCATTGAAGCATGACAAGCACTGACGGTGTAGAGCTTCCTTGGAAAATGGTGGCTAAAGGTAGCAGAAGTTCAACAAGGCGTAGCAAGAAATCACTTGTATCACCAGGCACAGTGGCAGGAGAAGAGCCTGAAAAGGTTTTTGTTTGCTTTCTTCCTGATTTTGTAGGGAAATTGCTGGTCTCTTTATTTTAATATTTGATCCTTTCTATCTATGGCAGCTTGGCGTTCCTGTTCAAGGTCAGCATTCCGCTGAAAAAGTAGAGCTTGTTCCCATAAAGAAAAGGAGATTTATGGTTCGCTCTCCGTCACCTTCGAACAGGTCATCTGCTCAACGTGAAGGCTCAGAGCATAGAGCACATATCAGCCATGATTTGCCTGTTTCGATACTAAACCCTAAATTAATTGATGAAAGAACGTCAGACATCCTTGATGAAAAGCCTGATTGCGGTGACCATGACTTTTCTGGTATCGAGATACTTGCTACTGTTGCTTGCAGTTGCTCTGGAGATATGATAGCGGCGGCTGAGAAAATCAGCAATGCTCTTTCAGATGAATCTTCAACAGAAAGGCCAAAGGCTAATATGGAAGCAGGTGAAAGTGGAAATTTAGCACTGGAGAGTGGAGGAGCTGTTACGGTGTCAGACAAATCTTTGGCAGATGATGCCTCTGAAAAGAACAATGAATGCCTCAAAGATGTTAGGTTACACTGGGATTTAAATGTTTCAATGGATGCTTGGGGTCAACCTTGTGATGCAGAAGATGTAGCATGTGGAAGAGATGTGGAGGGAGAAATTACAGAGTCTATTGCCCCGAAAGAGAGTGAACCTATTGATGGGAGCAAGGACCATATGGTTGGGGTGATTGCATCAGATGGGCATGCAAATTCTCAATCACCATCCGGGCCTAAGTCTGAGGCAGCTGCTCGAAATGGTCAAGAGAGCCAATCTGGTTATGACTCCCAGTATGAAGATGGAGAGTTGAGGGAACCATACCCGTGGGAAGAAACTGAGGGCGATATGGGAGAGATTGAACAGGTGGATTACGGGTCTGAACCAGAGGATGAGAGATTCTATTGTATGGTTGAAAGTAATGACAACAAGATGGAGGATTTTGAGAAGGCAATCTTGGGAGAGACGAATTTTGGACCTGTAAAGTGTGAATCTGGTGATGCACCGAGAATGGGGGAGTCTAATGAAGGAAGTGACATAGAGAAACATGTTGTCGTTTGCATGAATGATTCACATCTGAAAAGGGGCTCTTCTTCTCCTTCAAGGAGTTTCGCGTCAAAACCTTTTAAGGACTTGTCTTCACATGATGCCATCCAGAGGAGAAGGCAAGTTTGCTTTCCCTGACCCCGTTTCTTTTTTGTTCTTGGTCATTCACTTTATAATGGTTTGGTATTAAGTGAGTGATGGTTACTTTTGTTTTCAGGCCTGATAATTACGATGAGTTGAGCACGGGTCCAGATAAGTTTGTTGGGCGAGATGACAGATCAGGGATGTGTATGCATAACAGGAGTCCAGGGAGAGGCTATTTTGGCGTTTGGAATCCCAAACGCCGCTTCTCCCCACCTAATTACAAAGGCGGTTCCTATGGTTTTGGGCGCCCACGACATAAAAGCATGGTAGATGAGCGAAGTATGATGAACGGCTTTGATCAATCAGGGTCTGGACCAGGACCAGGACCAGATGGTCATGTACGGAGGCAGTTCTCGGATGGTGGGTACCGAGGGCGGTTTAGAAGGTTCTCAGATGGTGGGGATCGTGATTTCAGGAGGCCTGACGGTGATACCAACCAATATCCTGGTCGGATGCACAACCGGATGAGGAGGGAGAGAGGTAACTCTCCGGTCTTCAGGAGATTGCATTACCCGCAATCAGAGTCGAGATCAAGAAGCCGTTCTCCAGTCTTGTGGAACGGCCGAAACAGATCTCCTCCTCCGCCTGGTGGGTTCGGAGGGGACGAGAGGATGATGGAGAGAGTGAGGTTGCCTTTCCAGAAACGGTTTCCTTCGGATCAAGAGATGGGTTTCATGTCACCTCCAAGAAACAGAATGTCGTCGTCATCGAGGTTCTTTGAAGGGAGGAACAATGATGCCGGAGAGAACCATAATAGCTTCAGGGAAAGGAAGTTCCGGCCTGGACAGAGATTTGATGCCGGAAATTCTATGAGAAGAGTGAACCCTGACAACAACAACCACTTTAGACCATTTATTCGCCACAGAAGATTTGAGGGGGGTACGGAAGAGAGCAATGGTGGGAACAGGTTTGAGATGGTACAGCAGCGGAGTCGGCGGTCTGAGGCCAGAGAAGATGACGGTGATGATAATCGACCGTTCAGGTTAAACGGAGAAGAGTCTGTGGCGGTGGCCAATAACAACAACAGCAAGAACAAAGAGTCGCGATGATAATAACATAAGAGACTGACTCTTTTAGGTTTTGGGATTTCAATATAATCTCTC